AATGAAGAGCATGATTCTCATGCAATCCTCAACATTTGTCTTACAGAATTTTAACTTGAACAAGGTAATAAGAAGAGAGAGAGAGAAGAGATTGGATTTATACCCCGCCCTTCACTTGGAGTCTCAGAGCGGCTTACAAACTCCTTTCCCTTCCCCTCCCCACAACAGACACCCTGTGAGGTGGGTGGGGCTGAGAGAACTCTGACACAAACTGCTCTTTTTCAAGGACAGCTGTGCCAGAGCTTGTGACTGACCCAAGGTCACATCAGCAGGTGCAAGTGGAGGAGTGGGGAATCAAACCCGGTTCTCCCAGATTAGAGTCCGCACACTTAACCACTACACCAAACCACTACACTGTCAATTATATTGTTATTGTTGTTATTATTATTGTTGTTATTTCTTCTATTTATACCCCACCCTCCCTGCGAGCAGGCTCAGGGCAGCTTACATCAATGTAAGCCATTAAACGCAACATCCATTCACCCATGCTTTTATATGAAAGCAGAAATTCTGTGCATAGTAGTCATTTACTTTTACTTGTGTGCCATCATCACATCTGGAAGTTGCTATGCATTTGCATACCAGAGGGCCCAGGTTCAATCCCTTGCTACTCCAGTTGAAGAATTTCCAGTTGAAGATGATGTTGGGAAACAGTCTCTATATGAGACCCTGAAGAGTCTTACAGTCCTCATGTGCCTAGAATGCTATACAGAGTTAAGAACATGAAACTCTGAGCATTCAGCACAATAAAACCAAGAAGCTTGTAGTCCACGTGGGCTGTAGAGATCAACTTAGAAACATTCTATATGGCCCATCCTGATGTCCACGTGAAATTGCTTCCTGGGCAGTGGTATGGAATAAATTACCAAGCACCTAGAGAGGAAAGAAGAGTACGGATCCTGCATAGGGTAGTGCCGCTACCACTGGGGAATATCTTAAGAAATATAGGGAAATCTGCCAGGCTTCTTCCAGACTGATGTCAGCAGGCATGTGTGACTGAGAGCACTTCCATGTTTTTGAGAGGCAAATCTCTCCTCCTTGCATAATGTGTGGTTTTTTGCAAATGTGGAACAAAACAAAAAAAAGTAAAAGTACAGATTCTTGCTAGCTAAAGACATCTTGCTTATACCCCTTCTCTAATTCACTGCCACAGGAGGTGGTGGCGGCTACAAGCATGGACGGCTTCAAAAGGGAATTAGATAGGCATATGGAGCAGAGGTCCATCAGTGGCTATTAGCCACAAGGTATAGATAGGGGCTCTGGGGCAAGTGATGCTCTGTCTTCTTGGTGCTTGGGGGGGCCAACAGTGGGAGGGCTTCTAATGTTCTGGCCCCACTGGTGGACCTCCTGATGGCACCTGGTATTTTTGGCCACTGTGTGATACAGAGTGTTGGACTGGATGGGCCTTTGGCCTGATCCAACATCGGCATCTCTTATGTTCTTATGTTCTTAAGGGGTGGGAAAATGCAGACCATCTATGGTTTAGGTTTTGACTGACAGCTGCCCCGTAATTAACAGATGGACCTCAGACTGACAAACCTGACCAAGGGCTGCCTGACACTAGTGTTTTCTTATCCAGTAGCAAAATGGGTTTTCATTCCAACTTCCTGTGCTTCTTCAACTCAGGAATGAAATGATTTTAATATGCAATGCTTCCTTAAGAAGGAGGAAGTGGGAATTGAAGCTTAGCCTCCCCCCCCCCCCCATTTTGAAACAGAACAGGATGGGAGCTTAGCCCATCCTCTTGTCATCTGTCCAGGGGACTAAAGGAAGAGGTTACTTAGGTCCCATCCTACTCTGGTTAGATGGGGATTTTTAAAGCATTGTATTCCTATCCCTCTTTTAAAGCATTGTATTCCTATCCCTCTTTCCTATTCTTCCATTGCCCCAGCTCACCTGCAAGTCTTCTGCATTTCATCAAAGTAAAATCAAACATTTCCCATATGTTTTTTAACCTTGCTGTGTACTGTGTAGTTCGATATCTGTTACCTTTCCCGTCGTTTGTGAGTCAGGTGATGAGAAAGGATACTTCCATCAGCTGAAAGCCCTGGATCTCCGACCAGCTATGTACCATTGCAGTCCCCATAACTGTAGTACTTTACAACTGCTCAGCACCCCTTAAAGATCCATTCTGCAGGTGATACTCATCTGTGATTCAAGTTATCCACCAAAGGTTTTAAACTTATTTGAATATGAACTAAGTTATAAAATAAGACAGCAGAATAGGACATTAAATGCATATGCCTTGGCACAAAACCTTAAATAGTTGAGTCTGTTTTGTATTCATTATCTCAAAACTCTAAACTAAGACCATATAATTCCTGTTCTTTGAAATCTTGCCCTCAGCTAAGCAGCCAAGTACTCTGTTCTTCAAATGGAACAGGTTTCTATTCATACCCAATCAGCTCACAGCACAAATTTTTCTTTGCCCCCCAAGATGAATAAGCATTGAGCATTAAAATTATTTTTCATCTTAGCTGTTTTGTAGTTTTTAACCTCCAGATGTTCCTGAGGCATATGCTTATGTGGCCAAAAATGTGAACTTAGGTGATTATAAATGTAGGCAGCAGCGATTTGCAAGATCATAATGACATGTTTTCCAAGATGAAGGTGGAAGGCATAAAGGGAAGATAATGGAACTGGGACAAGCTGTGGATACTAGATGGTAGTGGTGCTAGTGGCAGTAATGCAGATTCGTGTAAGGCACATCCCTATGTATGTATCCTGTCAAACAAACATTGCCTAAAATTCAAACTTTTCCCATAAGGCAACAATTTTAAAATTGCCTTTAACCCAGAAGGGTCCACAATGAGAAGATGGTAGAAAAGCTTCCCTAAAATACAAATGTCACATTATTTCCCATCATTCCCTAAAATGTGCAACCTCAGGGGCTATTGCATGTTCCCTGGGAAGTACAGACAGTTCACAAGAACAACTGGGAGACCTGAAAGGCCTGCCCAACATTCTTTATGAACTATGTGTATCCACACAAAGTGTTTCTTAAGGCAAAAGCTTTTGAAAACCACTGATTAGAAATGTTTATACAGCTGTCCCACAAATACACAGATTATATAGGGGACTGCATGTATTCATCATGTTCCAAGTGGGCAAATGAAAGACTGGTGCTCTCCGGTTGGTGAACCCTGTTTGTAGCCATAAACTACGGATGTCCGAATGCTTGAGGCTACCATTATGGTGTAACACTGCTAGCTGTGTTGTTGTAACACACTACTATGTGACACACCACTATGTGACACACTACTATGTGACTATGTGCCTGAGATGGGGAGCAAGAGGAGGCCAGACACTGTTGTCCACGTGTGACAGTAACAACATCCCGTGCTTCAGATTGCTGCCCATAGGACTGACACCAATAATTGGACTCTTCTGCACTGTCATGTTTGTCACTCGTTTGTCCCTATTGCTTCAAGGGGTCTCCTCCCCCCCAATGTGTTTTGCTCTCTCTAGTAGTCCCAGAGGGAGCAAAACACATGTGGAAAAGGGGGGACGGGACCCAAAGCAATAGGGAGAAAGGGGTGACAAAAATGACAGTGCAGCACCTCCTAGTATATTTTAGGTTGAAGGGAAACATTTTTTTTCTGGCAGTAAGGAAATTCTTTCAAATTACATACAGACAGTTTTCACTTTGAATTGCTCTCAGCTGAATTGCCTGGACTGGGTTCAGTGAGGCATTTCTTGTTTTGATTTGGTGACCATCTGAAAGCCTTCAGCTTAATTCTTTGTAACCTTTTCCTCCTCCGTATTGATGTATGGCATGCAGGGTTGCTGTGGGGGCCCTGCGTTTGGAGCTGGGATTTCATCTAAAAGGAATGTTTGGTTGAAAGAGCATCCCGTCACAGTGATGGACAGGCATAAACGCAGTTCATAACCGGATAACTTTTTTTTAAAGAAAAGGACATGTGAAATAGACACAGAGCCTCTTAGCATCTAGTCACCCCTTTACGAACGGGAGAAAATGAATATCTGTGTCTCAATTAGATACATGAGTTGTACAGTGATGTAGAATCTCCACACGCAGGCCATATACTTCTGAATACTGGTTCTTCAACACTGGTGAAGGCCTTAGGTTCTATGCCCCTGTGTTGACCCTCCAGGGTAGCAAGTTGACCCTTGGGTAGTACAGAATGGCGGACTAGATGGATTCACTGGTTTGACCAACAGGGACTGTCTCACATTCTTCAATCGCTTAGTGTTTATTAAAGTTGAAAAGAGTTCCAAGTACCAGACACCAAGCTGGATGGTTGACTTGGGATATTAGCCCCATCAAGGAACTAGTTACATAAGATGATGCGTGAAATTAAGAGAGTTCTGTATGAGTAAGCCTGTCATTGGAACCAGCATTTTTTTTTTACCTCTTAGAGTAGAAAGAGATGGATGGCTCCAGCTAAAACAGTTAATTGAACCCTTGGTATTAGAATCTTTGGCACATACTTTCTGCTAATTTGGCCGTTCTTCTCTCACCAGTGAAAGTCAAGACACATTCATTTCTCCCCCTTGTTTGAATTGGCAATGCAGTTTGCGTTCTTTTATCTGATCTTTGTTCATCTTATTCCCGAAGGCATTAAGGCAGCCAGAGAAATCTGAAACTGATAACAGTGTTTGTGTTATCCAAAAGCTAGAGATTGGCTTTCAAAGGCAATTGGCAAAGTCCACGCTTTTAGGAACAGGCTATATTTTAAAGAAATGTGTCCCCTTTCCACAAAAGTGTGTGAACAGATGACCTCAAGAGAACCGTAGCTAAACACCCATAGAACAGACGTAATGTCTGCTTTGTGTCTGTAACTCTGAAGAACTGCACACAAAAAATCCCAGTATTTTGCTTTTGCAAGTCAAAATATGTATATGCCTGAAACAGAGATGCTTTTACATCTGAGTTTTCAGTTATTTCCTCCCATATTAAGTGCAGCAGTAAAATATAGCTTCTGTAGTATTTTTCACTGTCACTTCAATGAACGACTCATATATTCCTCTCTAATTAGTCCACAGACTGAGATGAGCCAAGCGGTGCCTGAGATGGGGAGCAAGAGGAGGCCAGACACTGTTGTCCGCAGTGAGGAAAAGAGGAAGAGCTCTGCACAGTGAAAGCCCTGCTGCACATTCCGTTTCTGAAATCAATGAACGTGGCCGTTTAACTCTCTGCTGCATTTCCACTGATTGCCCATATGGGCCACTGTCGAGCCTCACCCTTCCTGGGCAGCGCCTTTTGAGCATAATACGAAAGCTGGACATTCTTAGGAAGCCAAATGTTCAAGCATGCACATGAAATAAGCATAACCCTGATTATATTCCTTTATAAAAAAAATAAGATTAAAAAAACTTTTAAAAAGTGACACAATCTTTTTTTTTTTTTTTAAAGAACATTCTTAGTATTGTAAGACCAGGAGGATTTTAAGGGCTGCATTTTATTGGCACAGCCCTCCACAAATCAGTTCATTGGACAGCAGACACTCTGGTGAGCCCCTGCCTTGGCCAAGATAGTCAGCAGAATATCGAGGTCCCCTCCCTCAAATTCTCTACAGCTTGCAGAGCATTTGAGGGGAGGTGTCTTGTGCTTAGTTTTTGAAGGTGTAGCTTTGTCACCTCTTTCCTTCTCTGCTTCTGCCTGCTCCAAGTCTCAGTGCAGTATGGAAGAACACTTCGCCTGGATTTCCCCCGAGTCCTTTGCCTGCATTGGCAACCACAAATATTGGCTACTGAAGCAACCCCAAATGTGTTGATTTCTGAATGTATCTACTCCAGGCCTTCCCTCTGTAGCCACGCATGCAGAGGTTTCGGCTGGAGTAGGCGTGGCCAACTCTGAAGCCAGCCGGAACTCGGTTCCTGTGCGTTCCTGTCCAAAATTAGCTATCTACTGCATAATCTCATTTTCCCATATCTCCAGAACCACCATCCAGACTCTCTTCATGTGATGTGTTTTCATGGTGAATTTTCTAGTCTCTTTAATGCTCTAACACTAATAGACAGCCTTGTCGCTCCTGCACATTTTATCTTCAACATTTAAATTTCTGGGTGTTTTTTTTAGCACTATTTTTTAGCACTATTGGTTCATACACACCTGCACACAATTTTTCAACACGCGTCATGACTTGAGGCTGAGTATGTGATCCTACACCTGCATTTGAGGTGGTGCTGACAGTTCTGGTTTGCTATGATTGTTTTGTAACCGTGCATTCACACGTGCAGGTCATTTCTGATGGAGGCAATCCATCAAGTGATGCAGAAGTACGTACATGTGAAGTGGCTCTTTAATTCTTTGAAGCTAAAAGAGTCTCGCACAACAAACCCTCTTCAGCAGCACGTTTTCACCTGTCATCTTCATTCTGATGCTGGCTTGTCTTTCTGATTCACCGGGAGTTTCGCCACTTGCTTGTCTATACTGGAATTGACACCATCTGCTTCTTTTTCGTGTTCTGGGATGCAGGTGCAGCCCACGGGGATAGTGACATAATCCTCAGTGTAAATATAGCGGCCTCCGGTGCAGGATGTGGTGCGGCGCAAGATTACCGTTGGCATGTACACTGGGGTGCTTCGAAAGTGGAAATTCTCTTCCCCGTAAACTCCAGTAAGGCAGCCTTTACACAGACAGTACGCTTCAGGAATGTACTTTGGATACCTTGTGGGATCATAGGAAATTCTGTGCCAAAGCAGAAGAATAAAGACTCAGTTTGTGCCTCCTTCCCATCGTTCCCCTCCCAAACATCTTATTTTAACCCCAGCTGGAAAAGATTATAAGCGAAATGTTGACAGTTGCTTTGCATTATATGACGTTTTTGTTATTATGCCAGTGGGGGGGGGGGATACAGCTGCAGCTCTCAATGCCTTGCCACTTATTTGGAAACCGGGAAGACAAAGTAATTGGACAGCTCCCTGCATGGAACAGACTCCCAAATAAACACCAGTTTAGTTCCCTTGTTTATCAAATGGTAAGACCTTAAACTCCGTTCTCACACTCAATGCACTTCAAGTGTATGCTAGAGTACTGCAGAAGTGCGCGCACCCTCCCTGGTGTTCTCAGCTATAGACAGTTTGAAGTCCCTCTTTCTGATCCCCCCAAAAGTGCTTCATTTGGAGGCAGGGTTGCTTTTTTTTTTTTTTTTAAACAGTTTATTTATCATTTTCCATTTTTTACATTGCCTCTTCGTATTTACATTATTTATTCTTTTGAGTCTTTTCTAATTACATTATCCATCCACAAATAAAACATTTTCCATCAGTTTTCAAATATCTCCTTATTTTTCCCTTGTAATCTTAATCTATCCATCTCCGCTATGGTCAACATTCTTTCAATTATATCTTTTTCTGAAGGTACTTTCTCCTCTTTCCATGTTTTAGCTAGTAAGATTCTTGCTGCCGTAAAGAAGTATATAATTACATATTTCTCTGTACCATTATATATATATGGAACCATATTCAATAAAGCTATCTCTGGTTTGAAAGGTATGTGCATTCCTAATATTTCCTTTAACATTCGGTAAACTTTTCCCCAAAATCTTTGTACCCTGTCACATCTCCATCACATATGCATGAATGTACCAACGTTTTTTTTGCATTTCCAACCGTTTCTATTGGATGTTACGTAACATTTAGCTATCTTTTCAGGTGTCCAGTGCCACCTGCAGAACATTTTGTAAATATTCTCTTTATATGGTACTGCCCTCATTAACTTTATTGAACTCCATACTTTAACCCATTGTTCTGGTTCTGGTGTACAGTTTAGATCTTTAGCCCACGTCACCATTGTGCTTTTCACCATTTCTCCCATCATATATTCTTCCATTAGCAGTCTATATAGTTTTTGAATAAGTTTATCGCTAGAGGACAGAAGTGAGCGCACCCTCCCTGGTGTTCTCAGCTATAGACAGTTTGAAGTCCCTCTTTCTGATCCCCCCAAAAGTGCCTCATTTGGGGGCAGGATTGCTGACCCTTCTTTATGACTCCTGTGCCTTGAGCAGAAGCCTGAGGTGCTTTCTCCCATCCTTCTATCTCCATCACACACCCCACAAAAACTATACCTGTTAAACAGCCACATATCAGGCTGCTGTTAGAGATGCAGGAGCAGTAAAAGAAGACAGTAGCCATCACCATTATATCTGCAATCTCAGACTGTGAATTGGACAGACCTGTATGTGTGACTGCACAGAGGATGACTCAATGAGCAACTGTTACAATAAGTAAAACGCTGTTTTGCAGCCCACTTGGTGGGTCACCAAGGGTTTTTGCCCCCCTCAGTATGGACTTTTCTTCCTTTGCATATCAGACATTGTCATAACTAGAAAAAGGTGGTAGAATGTTGTGAGTCCCCCCTCCCCCAGCTGGTTGGGAGACTGGGAATGTACATATTGTAGCAGTGGACAGATGGTTTAACTCAATCCTAAGAAAGGATGTTTCCAAACTGTAGGTTATAGTTACGTTTTTGTGTGCATGGAAATTGGGAACACAGGTTCATATATGAGAGTTTCTGAAAAACGTTCTTTTCGCAGAACTGTTGCTGTTGGTAAGTTCATGAGTAATAGCAGGACGGAAAACAATAGGAGTGACTCAAAGCCAAGTTGTTGATCCATGATCTGGGACTCGTTTGGCATGGAGATCCAGCACTTCATGGCTGGGTGCACTGAAAAGTGGCTGAAACTGACCTCTGCCCCTGCAGTGGGAAACTGAATCCAAGTTTCTGCAGCTAATGTCCAGATGGTGGAGCAGGGAGAAGCTGTACTGAAAAAAAGCTTATTCTTCATACACTCAAACCTCACTGCCCAGGCACCAAAATGTGCTGTTTCGAAAGCAAATATCATAGCACCTTAGTGTAGACGATTCCTAAACTAGGTAGGGCGTTCTGTCCAGCCATTCCATGTTCTAGTGCTCCTCAGCTGGTAATAGTCATTTTATCTATACATCTAATACTGAACTGGCCCCCTCTGTGCGGATCCTTAGATCCGGACATCGGGGGCACTTGGGGGGGAGGGAGAGGTTTGTGCACATGTGGGGCGGTCCCCACGTGTGCACAAAAATGCTAAATGTTGAAAAAACTTTCGGGGGGATTTTTAACGCTCTGCGACCTACCTGGCTTCCGTGCGCAGGAAAGGAACCGAACGGCCGGAGAGGCCCAGCAGCGGCGGCGAGAGACAGGTGAGGAGGGGGAAGAAAGTCGGGGAGGGGAAGAGAGACTGCCGAGGCCCGGCGGATGTAAGCCATTTGGGCCTTGGTTCACGGGGGAAAAAGAGAGAGAGAGAGAGAAAGTCGGGGAGTAGGGGGAATGGTGTGGGGGGGAGACAGCCCGGCGAGGCCCGGCGGATGTTAGCCGCGTGGGCCACGCTGCGATGGGGGAAAGAGAGAGAGAGACAGACTGGGGGGGAAGAGAGAGGGGGGGGGGGGGAGAGAGTGAGGGGGGGAGGG